GGAAAGTCTCTATGAGGAAGGGATAACTGTACTTCCTTGAGGCTTATTAGGAACTCAGTTATAATTTTCATTACCTAGGCTCAAACTGGGAGTGGAAAATGATCCATTTACATCAGTTTAACAAGGAAAGAGGGCTAAAGAACTTCAAGTTGAAGGGGAGAGAAAGGAGTAAAGCAAAAAGTAAGGCTTAAAAAGACTGGTGTGATGGCCGCCCTAAGGGCCCTTTTCTACACTTCAGTGATGTTCCACTCTGTTTCCTCCTCGGTTCTCTCCTAAACTACAGCTGCTATAACCTGGAGATAACATCTGCTATTACAAATTTTTCTCTGAAAGACTGCTTTTCCTTCTGCTGCAGCTATCATCTGCTATGATTCCTTTTTCATCTAAGAGAATGTTAGCAGTTGTGTGTGTGTGTGTGTGTGTGTGTGTGTGTGTGTGAGATTACTTTAGGCCAACATTCCAGGAGATAATCAATATATTTTCACTTCTTTTATATGCCAAGTCCTAAGGTACACCTAGTCCACACAAAAGTATCTCTTAGGTAGCTGTTGAATCTTTTATTGGTTTATTAATTCATTTGTTTATCTACCTCTTTAATAATTTATTCAATCATTTATTTAATTATCACCCACTCAATTATGTAGTTAGCCATTTATTTGTTTGCTTGTATGTTTATCTAGCTGTATGTATGTTTGCATATTTTTTTGTTTTCTTGTTTGTTTGTTTTTACTTTATTCACCACTCCTGACTCAACTTTCAAAGGGAAGTTATTAAGTCCTAGCTTCCACTTACCTAAGTCACTTACCGGAAACTCAAACCATCCCCCTGGCAGCAAGCACTGGAGCATGCGCATTAACTTTAATAAACCCAAAGGAGGCCCTTGACAACTCTGGAAGGTCAGGGGCAGGACTGACTTTTGCCCTTTATTCCTGCCACTATGGCAGAGAACCTATTCCCATTATAATAATTAGTGAATACACAAAACATAAGAGGTAGAACCATTTGAACAAAGAATAAATTAAGAGAAACCCTTATCCATGTACTTTAAGATCACAGATAGAAAAGGGGTGTTGGTCACATACTAGTGATCAGTGATCAGTTTTCAATATCAAAATGGAAAAATTAAAATTAAATATAGAAAGAAATATAATAACTATTACACATAATACTTATCAGTTAAAAACAGAGAATAGCATAGATAAATAATGTTCAATAAATAATTATATTTACAACAGTGCTCTCTGTCTGACATATCCAATTCTACATTTATAAAGCAGCTTGGTGGCTCAGGAAGAGTAGGGGGCCTGGACTTAGGACAACCTGAGTTCAAATCTGACCTCATAACCCTGGTCAAGTCATTTCTTTCTGCCTCAGTTTCCTCAACTATAAAATGGGGATAATAATAGCACTTGCCTTCCTGGATTGTTGTGAGGATCAAATAAGATAATATTTGTAAAGTACCTGACATGTAGTAGGAACTTAATAAATGCATGCTTCCATCTTTTTACACATTCACAAGTCATTCTTATTTGTTAAACACCTATGTATACAATGCCTGTATAGTCAGAGCTACATGGTAAATTTATTACCTAAAAACATGATGTTAAGTGCAAGTTTATAGGAGGAAGCTAGTTAAGTAGGAAAGTATTATAAATGGTCCATAGACTAAAGACATTTGTGTGAAAAAGATCAAGGATTTTAATGAATTATGCCATCAATATGAGTCACTAGTAGGACATAGCGGGCAAAAATAGTGCTTGTTACCTAAGTTGCATGAAGAAAGGCATAGGATCTATTATTCTGCTTTACTCTGCTTCACTCAAACAAGCAGTTGTGTTCAGTAGTACAATGACCATTACAAGGCACCATATTTCAGGAAGAACATTCAGAAACTTGAGTATATCCAGAAGAGAATGAACAGAATGGTGAGAAGTCTAAATAGAATTTGGTAAGAGGATTGGTTTTATTGAAGTCAATTCAAGAAGCATTTCATAAAGAGCTGCTATATGTTAGGCACTGTGCTGGGTGAGAAGGATACCAAGGCAAGAGACAAAACAATCTCTCCCTCCAGGAATTTACATCATACTGGGAGAGTACCCAAATTGCACAGGTAAGTAAATGTAAGACATAGACAAAGTAAATATTAATTTCAGAATGGGGTTTGGGAGAGTGCTAATAACTGAAAGGATTAAGAAAGGAGCAGCCAGAGAGCAGAGGCTTGAAGGAACCTACATATTTAAAGAGGTGGAGGTAGTCAGCTGAAAAAATATTGCAGAGCACTAATAATTAGAGAAATGCAAATTAAAACCTCTCTGAGCTTCTTTCTCATATTCATCAACTCGGTGGAATTGGCAAAAAAAATTAAAAAAGAGAAAATAACAGATATTGGAGGTTCTGCAAGAAAACAAGCACATTAATGTATTGTTGATAGAACTACGAATTGGACTAGCTATTCTGGAAAATTATTTGGAACTATACCCAAAAGGATTCTAAACTGTAATTTATACCCTTTGACCCAGCAATACCACTGCTAGGTCTATACCTCAAAGAAATCAAAGAAAAAGGAAAAAGACCCATACGTACAAAAATATTTATAACAGCTCTTTTTGTGGTGGCAAGGAACCAAATTGCTTATCAGTTGGATGAATAGCTGAACAAAGTGTCATATGTGAATGTATGGTAATACTATTGTGCTATAAGAAGTCATGAAATCAACAGTTTCAAAGAAAACTGGAAAGATTTGTTTGAAATGATGCAGAGTAAAGTAAGTAACACCAGGAGAAGAATTTATATAATAACCACAACACTATAAAGATGAACAATTTTGAAAGGCTTAAGAACTCTCATCAACACAGTGACCAACCACAATTCCAGAAGACTAGTGATGATGCGTTCTCTCCACCTACTGATAGAGAGGTGAGGAATTGGGGGTACATAATGAGACACATTTTTTTGGACATGACCAATGGGAGAATTTGTTTTGCTTGATTGTGTATATTTGTTACAAGGACTTTTCTTTTTTTTCTAATGAGGTAGTAGAGGTACGGGAGGAAGCAAATCTAGACCTTTCTTCATTGAGGAAAAAAAATCAAAAAAAAAACACTAGGTGGCATCAGTTGAGGAATACCTAAACAAATATTGGTACATGAATATAATATAATACTAATGTTTCGTAAAAATTATGACTATGGAAAAGTCAAAGAAACATGAGAACACTTATTTGAACTAATGCAGTATGAAGTAAATAGAACCAGGAATACAATATCCAATGTCTACAGCAATGTAAAGAGAAAGAACAACAACCCAAAAAGAAACTGAAAGTTATGTAGCTATAATGATTAAGTTTGTCCCCGGAGAAGAGATAAGAAAACATCATCCCTTCTTTGTAGAGGTGGGGGACTTGAGTACAGGGAATTGCATGTGCCACTAGACTCAACTGATGTGTTGGTTAGCTTTGCTCAATTTCTTTTCATTTGTTTTTCAATGTTATTAATTGTTAAACTATACATACCCTTTGACCCAGCCATAACATTGCAAAGCTTGCTAAGTGGAGCAAGAGGTTTACTCAGAAATGAAATTGACCCTGGGCAAGTCACTTAACCCCACTGCCTAGCCAAAACAAAAAAAAAAAAAAACAAAAAAAAACAAAGAAATGAAATTAATGCAAAGAAAGCTACCAGTGAAATAAAAAAGTACTAAAAAATGAGGAGGAGGTGAGGAAGGATATTTATTCTCAAAAAGAATAGATTTATGGAGTACATTCTAGGTGTCTTTCAAAGTATTTGAAAGACTGTCATGTTGAAGATAGATGCAACTTATTCTGATTGCCCTCAGAAAGCAGAACCAGAAGAAATGAATAGAAGCTGGAAAGAAGCAGATTTAGCTCAATGTAACTAAAAACCTCCTAATGACTAGAACCCATCCAAAAGTGAAATGGGCTTTTCCAAGAGGCAGTGGGTTTCTCCCTTCATTAAATTTCTTCATGTAGTGTTTATATGATTGCTTTTTTCAGAACTGTATGAAAAGGATTTGTGTTCAGCTTGAATTGAGGCAGGTGGTAGGTAATCTCTGAGGTTCCTTCCAACTCAAGACACACAAGTTTAATCAAAAAGAAGAAAATAAGGGAGAGAGGTATTTAGTGGAGATTATCAAGAAGTAGCAGAGTAATTAAAGTAGCAGTGTAAGAAATATCAGCTCACTTTTTCATGTACTTCTTCTTGCTGGCTACTCCCACATGACTGTTAGGGGTAATATCTTCTATTCTCCATTCCAAGTTTTATAAGATCTGAAGGTCAGCAGAAATATCCTCCTTTCTCTCTCCAAAGGCCAATTAAGTTTCGAATTAAGGGGGTCTTGCTCTCTTTGTAATAGAAAGCCACCTCCTTAATCTGACCCATTGGAAACTTTTCTTTTCTCAGGAACCAAATTACAGAATGTTGATAGTGAGGAATCATTTTTCCAACCCTTCATCTCCCCATCCACTTAAATTCCATACGTTTAGAAGGTAACTGGATGTCAGATACTAATGATATTGCCAAGGATGACTGCCAAGGATGACTGCACAAGGCTTCTAACAGTTTCAGAATTGTTAGATAAGAGTATTTGACAAAAGCTTTTTAAGAAGTGAAAACTCTAATCCATTGCTTGCCTGCCCTTTAAAAATGAGCAAACTTTAGATTTATTTTTACCACACCAAATTTGGGTAAAAAGAGCTTTTAACTTTTTCTGGAGAAAGTTCTTCAAATGATATTTTTCCAACAATGTTTTTCTTGATCATCCTTCCTCCCTCTTAGTTCCTTCAGCTCTTTGTCCACTAAGATCATGAATGTTAAAAAAAAGCACATTAACAAGAAAACAACCTAAGTTGTTTATACCATAGTGTCTGAATCAATATATGGGCCCCATGATAAAACCATGCGTGGTCCAAGAGGACTTTTCCGGACCCTCTGACATCAAGATAAATGTACTAACTAGCTGTATGATTTGTTTCCTCTTCTTAGGCTCAGAGATGAATGGAAGCAGATGTTGGAAAAAAGGTTAAAGATGCTGGATAATCCTGATGAGAATGAAAAGCCCACCAATGCCAAATGAAAGCTTCCTACATTTGAGAAAATAAGGAACTGAAGTTGCTTTTCTTGGGGAATCCAGTGCAAATGCCTGAATTATTTTGATTTACTAAATGGAATGAGTTCTATTTGTTTTCCCATTTGTGAGGGGATTAGAATGTGAAACCTCTTCTAGTGTTAATGGAAGCTATTAACCAACCCAATATTCTGTGTATACATAACCTCAAATCTATCAAAGAGCTCCAGACCTAACTAATGCAGGCAGTGCTCTGGATTAGCACCATATAAAAGTTTCAAACATCTAGGCACCAGAATTCATTTCCATATAATTATCCCCTCATTTTAAAATCAAAATCCTTTACATTTCAAGAACAACTAGGCACCAATATTAATGGTAACATCTCTAATAATAGATGTTAATTCTGTTTTGCCATTTTTCCTGGAAAATTAGAATCTTGAGATTATCTTTCTTCCTTTCATTCTTCCTCCTTTCTTTCCTTTGTTTGATGAATACAGGAAAGTAATTACTGCACAAACTATTACAAATTCATTAAAAATGTAGCTGGGAAATGAATCGATCTAATTTTCTTTCCTCTATGTTTTTTGGCTCTGCTTCTACAAAAACATATAAAGTATTTGGGGGCATTCCTTCGTGATGTGTCCCTGGAAAGCTAAAGCAGTTTTGAGTCACTGTGGGTTGGCACCCACTCAAAGCTATGGCTCACAAGATCCCCTCCCCCATATGTATACTTTTACCAGCCAAACTTAGGCCACATTAGAGCTTTTAAAAAAAGAACATTTAATCAAACATAATAGTAAATGAAGCGATAACAAAAGATCATGTGCACCATGTATATTGGGCTACACTCACCCATACACTCACCAGTGGGGAATATGGCACACATATGCAGAGAACATAAATAATCAAGGAACATATATTGAAAATACACTAAAGAACCAATGTGGTCAGGGCACATTTGTGGACAGCCAATACATTAGGAACTCCTGTGACTATGGCATTCCTGCAGCTACAAATGTTTTGGCTAAAAAGGGCATACCCCTGATACTAGAGTTAACAAAATCATCTGGTGAAGTTATCATAGTGCTGTCTGCTACTCAATGCTAAGTTTCATGTTTCCACAGGACATTTTGTTGTCTCTATTGAGAACGGTACTTGCCTTGTTCATCCCATTGTCTTCTCTGATTATTCCTATTGTTCTCTCATCACCAGACTACTCTCTGCTGCCATCTGATGGGGTTCATTTCTTTAGAACTATCTGCTGTTTTGTGAGCTCATACACTAAGTTGCAGTGTATAGAAAGTCTTCCCTAACAAAATCAGTCTTAGAGAGTATTGTACAGAGTCTTATAGCACACAAGCAAGGCTATAAGTTACCACACTTAGCCACAGAACTAACAAAATCTAGCAAAATGTCTCAGGTTAATATCATCTATTCTTTTGAAAAAGAGTTTTAGAGGTTTCTACCCCCATAAGTAGCTTCTGTGTCAGGTGAGCACTGTGGTGCAACTCACTAGTCAATAACTATGATAAATCCCCACCCATAACCTTTCTTCTTGTCTCATTACCTTATTAATTTTCATCCCAGACTCTAAGGCATTCAAGGAGTGGGTTCTGATATTTCCTCATAAATTAATAAGAATACACAATTTCTCTCATAAATCATTCAATTAGTTCTAAGCTCCCATCACATCTCATAAAATAAACCAGATAAACCTTTCATAAAATTTCCCTCCTCTCTTTTCCTCATCCTCAACCCAGTCTTATAGGTTTAAGTAGATATCCTGTTCATACAATGTACTAACAGTGCAATAATAAATATAATATTTAAATATTTCAGCAATGAATCAAATTAAAAAGATCATAGCTAGAGTTTCCTCTAGTCATCAGTAGAAACTGTTGACTTCCCAACTCTGGAAACAGTTCCAGCATTCAGATCTCTCAAGATACCAATCAAAAGGCTCTCAAGAATTCTTCTGCATGAGTTAAATTCAGTTCTCTTAGGAAATGTCTCTTCTATCTTTCTCAAAAATGACAGTTCACTTGTCAGTCTTTTAGCAAAGAAGTTCTCTTAGTCATTTCTCTCTGAACTTCACATAGTCTTTCTCCAACTATGCCAGTTAACAGTCACCAGATAGCAGTTAAATGCCACTCTCCCAAGATTTTATTTCCTCTTAAAGATACAGCGATGGTTCCTAAGATCTCTATAAAAGATTGAAAATGCAATTACTCTTTGGTTATCCCTTGTTTGGCATTGATTTGAAATCCATGATCCCAAACAACTATCTGACCTGGTGTTAGAAAATTTCTGGTAACTTTGTTCAGTCCCTGCTTGTGTTGTTCCTTGCCCCAAACCTATTTCAGAGATTCTGATTCCTCCCTCTAAAAAAAGCCCCTAATAATTCCATAAGAGCTTTGTGGAGTCTGGAAACAAAGGTAGGTCTTGATCCTGATGTCCTATCCGATTAATATAAATAAAGTTAGGTGAAACAGTTAGAGTACAAACTCCTACCTTAATTGTGCATATGCCAGCAATAAAGCTGCTGATTTTGAGCTGTATTTCATCCAGCAAAATAATCTAACTGACCTCTCTGTACATAATTCCTTAGAAATATTCAGGGGAGCTAGGGTAATCTTTAATAAAATCCATATATCATGCCATCATTTGAATGCAAACACTTCCTTTCACAATATACCCTAGATCTCATTTTGGTTGGCTAGAACTTTGCTGAGGGAAAATTTTCCTAATTAGATAGAAATAAAGGAAGGGTATGCCCCAGAAGTTGAGAGCCAATCAGCAGGCTGTAATAGAAAGGGAACTAGCTCTATGAGCCAAGAGCTCTTGGTTGTAATCCTGGCTGTTCTACTAACTGTGGGCTTTGGGGCAAAGCACTTAAAATCATAGATTGTTTTCTAATCTAAAAAGTGAAAGTGTTAGACTAAGTAGTCTCCAAGGTTTTTTCCAACTCTAGCATCCTATGATGATTTTAAGCACTGGATTGTAAACAAATCTCAAAGTAACATTCCTAGGCCTAACTAGTCTATCCCTCTAACCCCAAAAGTCCCGGAAGATATATGTGGAGAATGTGTATAAGACAACATTTAGGGTCCAAGATGTGTCAATCTCTGAAGATATCTGAATTGCCATAAGATCCATATTTCAATACATCCACTAGAAATTAAAGTAGTTTTGGAGCTCTGAGATGGGGAAGAAAGATTCTCAGACATTCCAAAAGATTATAGGATTCAGGAGCAAAGACTTATCTCCTCCTTCCCCATATCAAATATGAACATCAGTAGAAAGAAGGGGAAAAAAGAAGCTTAAAGGACTGTGGTCATTTGACACATATTCATCAGTTGTTTTGGGTTTGTGTGTGTGTGTGTGTGTGTGTGTGTGTGTGTGTGTGTGTGTGTGT